CTCCCAGATGCCGATCGAATTTCTTGCTCGACCACCTTCAATGGTGCCTTCATTTTTTTTAAATGTATGCCATTTGTTTTTCTAATTTTGGTTAGATCTTAATCCCCCTTTTTTTTTTTGTTTATTTAGCATACCTTTATAGGTTATGTAATTGTTATTTTATTTTTTTAGATTCAAATATGATACATCAATTCCTGAGAAGTAGAAATATCAGGAACCCAAAATATTTTAATATCGTATATCAGGAACCGAACCCGATGATTCAAGTCCAGTCTTTGGTCTGCAAAAATAAGTCAATTCGGTCCCGGTCCTAACTAATTTCGGTCCGGTCCGATTTTGGACCGGTGTACAACCTAGAGCTAACCTATTCATTATGGGAACAATGCTCCGGACCAAATAGAGCTTACCTACGGGCACATGACTTTCTCTCGGAAAGCCAAAGACGACTTAAGACAAAGTACAACTGTTGGGAAGAGGACATGATCAATTGAAGATGGATCTAGGTCGGGCTGGGATAGTGGCACCCATTCCTAACAAGTTGTGAAAAGGTTCGCTCATGTTGTAGGGAGCATTCTCACTTAGTGATTGGTCCGCTAGTTCACGCAAATTTAAGAAGTTATCACGGACGAGCCACATGTAGGGGAACTTGCACGTTTGGTTTTGCAAGGCTTTCCTAAGGTATCTAATAACCCTGCTTTAATTTGCTTTTGCTCGCTATTGGCGCCTCTCCTAACTATTACCCATTTATTCTAGAATAATCTTTTTAAGAGGGACAATTTTACATATTTCGGCTAACCATTTTTGATTTTGGGCTTATTGATTTAAATCTAATCCCCTAAATTACTAACTTACCCATTAAATAAATTACTAACCCACACCACCACCCTCCATCCACACCCAAAACTAACTCGTTCCCCATCTATTATTCACGGCCACCCACCATTCTTCCCCATCAGCCCTTCTCGTTGACTAACTAAGGCACCACCTGCCCCAACACCGTCAACAGTTTGCAACCGCCAACATGTCATCGTGTGTGGCATTGAAACCCTAACCCAAAACACCAGTTTTCTCTCTCCACTCCAACCACTCCCCGGCCTCTTCCTTCACCTCAACTCCCCCCGACTAGGGTTAAAGTTTTGATGGTGCAGTGGTGGTTTTATAGGTATTAGGAACTTTAATAAAGTTTCAATGTTTTATTGATTTTTTTTTTATTTTTTTTAATTATTTTTTTATCAAAATTGAATGGTAAAGTTTTAATGGTAAAGTCTTGCCCTACTTGTGACTTCATATTTACATTTTATATCCAGCAATATTCATGTACAAGATATTAGTCTTCACAAGTAGTGCAAGATCTCATTGGTGATATATATTTTAAAATACTATAATAACAAAAAGGAAAAATTGCGAGGAAGGTCCTTTTAAGTGGTCAACCTTGTGAAAAAGTTCCTTTTAAAAAAAAGGTGGCACAAAAGGTCCTTTTATGGCGATTGGGTTGTGAGGAGGGTCCTTTGACCAAACTCTGGCATTAACTTCGTTTTCCAGCCAAAAAAAGTCACATGCTGTGCATGTGACCACTAAAATCAGCCCTTTTTTTTTTCTTTTTTTTCCTCTTCATCTTCTTCCTCCCTTTCAATTCCACACCTCCATAAATGGCATTGAAAGGGAGGAAGAAGATGAAGAGGAATACAAATCTCAGGTCACCACCACAAATCCTCACACCACCACCACAAATCCTCGGGCCAACACACAAATCGTAGCACCACCACCACAAATCGAACCCACCCACCACGCACTGAACCCCACAAATCCTCACGCCACCACCATAACCACCGTCGCAACCACAACACACTCCACCAGCCACTTGCAGCCCCAACTCAATTCGCCACGCACCGGCTCCCTACTTCCTTCACTGCTCCCCTGCTCCAATTTAAACACCAGCCACAGCTCACCTGCATCGCAACTCCACCTCCAATCACCTCCAAATCTAGCCACCACAACATCAGCCACTACAATTTACAATCAACAACAATCAATTAATCCCAATTAATCTCCAATTTACGGCAGCCCTGCTCATGCCCACCACCAAACCGCAACTCCCCTGCTCCTCACTGCAATTTACAACCAACAACAATCAATTAATCCCAATTAATCTCCAATTTACGGTAGCCTTGCTCATGCCCACCACCAAACCGCAACACCCCTGCTCCTCACCGCAATTTACAATCAGCCATCAAATGCCATTCATGGAGGTGTGGAATTGAAAGGGAGGAAGAAGATGAAGAGGAAAGAAAAGGAAAAAAAAAAGCCTGATTTTAGTGGTCACGTGCACAGCACGTGACTTTTTTTGGCCGGAAAATGGAGGTCAATGCCAGAGTTTGGTCAAAGGACTCTCCTCACAACCCAATCGCCATAAAATGACCTTTTGTGCCACCTTTTTTAAAAAGTACCTTTCTCATAAAATCGACCACATAAAAGGACCTTTCTCGCAATTTTTCCTAAAAAAATATCATTTTGATTCAGTTATTTAGTAAATTTGATTATAAGAATTTCGGATACCTAGAGTGAAATGTTCAATACCGTCATAAAAAATTATTAAACTGCCATCATTTCAAGCAAAGAGACATCCTTCTTGCCCTTATTAATATTTTTTACCATTTTCTTTCTCTAACTTTAGTTTTTCACCACTTCTAAAACAATCAAGTCAACCACCACCAATCACGACACCAGTACGACCCATGCCACCACGTCGACCACCATAACACACAACCATCGCGTCAATCACCACCATCTATACCGGACTGCCACCACGACTGCAAAATAATTAATTATAATTATTATGATCTATAAAAACCATAATAATAACTTTTTAAAAAAATTAAAATCGGATAACCAATGGCTGGTAACTGGTGGCTATTAGCCGGTATTGAAAACCGGTTGACTGTCATTAGTAATCGGCAACCAAAACCGGTTGGTCACGACGGTCAGTCGGTTTTCACCGTCGGTTACTGGCTGCGGTCAACCGGTTTTCAACGCCTGTTAACGGTGGTGGGCAGCCGGTTTTGAACGCTGGTTACCAGCCTCCAAAATTTATAAAAAAAAAAAAAAAAAAAAAAAAAGCAAAAAACAGAAAAAAGAAAAAAATCGCCAGTAAACTTACTTCCTTCCTCGGATTTCCAGCCATTCCGCCTACTTACCTCCGCCTACTACCGGCCCAACCTGACCGCGCAGCCGCCGCCTTCTACCGCCTGCTATGTGGTTGGGGTGGTTGTGTGGAATGAAGTTGGTGGTTGGGGTGTTTGATGAGAGAGAAAAAAAAAAGGAGAAAAATGGGTTAGGGTTTTGTAAGGGCAATAATGACCCTTTGCTTGAAATGGTGGCCGTTTTGATAATTTTGGATGGTGGTGTTAAACACTCCCTATCTAGATTCTCATAAATATCAAATACTTGTACTTCATATTTCAAATTTTGAGTATTGGACTTTTGATTCGGAAATGATTCTGGTTAGATTGGATATCCAACCCATGCTCAACCAAACGCACAACCTTAAGTCATACGGAGTACAGTAATAACCAACCACCTTCATCTCCATACTTTTACTATGCTGAGAATCTACACATGTAAATCTCTTTTGAACACACTCCTATTTCACTGACACTTTTCTCTCTATCTTTCAAACAAATGACAATGTTTCTTAGAACCTTCCATAACTCACTCATCACCCCACTCTAAAATTTCTGTTAGACACTGTTTAGTAATATATTCAAGCTAATTATTGATATTCAATCTAATTATTTTAAACATAAAACTAGAATAACCGTTCATGCCCTACTAAAGATGACATCAATGGATGCACAACTTGTAGTTCGCCATAGCTGTCCATTATAGATAACACTGATATATAAATAACTCGTATTATTTTCACTAGCTAGTAGCCACTAACCCTTCGGATTGATAATATAAACAAGATTCGATTCCATGTCTTCTCTGCCACTACCATCATCAAGACTATAACGGACTAAACTATCTGTAGAATGCACAATTGCACAAATAGTATGTACTATGTAGCTCATCATAGCTGTCAAAATATAGCTGAAGACAGTAGCAGATAAATTCCAACTCATAGAATGGTATTCCTAAAATAAACTACATTAAAAACTCATACGTACCCAAATAAAAGTAGCTTGATTCCAAACAATGATGAGAATAAATGTTACTGCAGCAGATAGTTGTTCTGAAATTTGGAGCACACTAATTTCTTACAAGCCCATCACTCTCGATCATGAGCAACCCAGTGCAGACATAAACTCGTGGTATAACTGATAAAAAAACATTAGTTTATGCTCACATCCTTTATTCCGCCTCGCTCCACTTTTTTAAATCGACTGTTTTTAATTTAATAAACCGACTGTTTTAAATTGAACGCCTCATTTACATTTTAAGATATGCTTTCTTGTTCATTTAATTACTATTATATCTCTATGCTCGCATGATTCTCAATTCTACTATTTAGACTTTTATTTATTATTAATAAACTAGTCCTCTTTCGTAAACTTTTAACACACATTTTCATATGTATTTTTTAATTTCTTAACAAACCTTAGATACATTATGGATTAACTTAAAATCCATTCAACAGACTAATCACTAACCTAAAACTTGATGCATGATAAAAGTGTTGCAATTAATAAAACGAGTAACTATGCTACAATTATTTGAATAACAAATATTTTAGGATATGAGATTAGATTTTGTATGGCCCACAACTTTTAATTTTATGTAAACTTCTTGCTATAAACTAAGCACACCAAATTTCCACTTGACTCCCCTTATGGTAGCAAGTTTGCGGGCTAACCACCATCATATTATTTTCCAAGTTCAATTTATCAAAAAAATTAATATTCCACCTCTATTATATATTCTAGCAAGATAAGATAAAATCTTTAATTTAAATTTTTAGGATAAAAAAACAAACAAATTAATTCCACCCTCAACAACTTTGTGATAATGTAAAAGTAAATGCTTTTTTCTGAGGGAGCATTTAATTAAAAATAATTCAATTATTTTCAAGATATATTAAAATATAAAATTTAAACAAGAGATATTATAAAATATTTACAACTTGTAACATTTTAATTTAATAATGGTTTCTTTATATATACCACTTTCCTTATTAAGTGAATACTGTTCTAAAAAATCAGAGTGATATTTTTTTTTTATTTTTTATATATCACTCTTATCTTCCTTTCTTCACTGAAAATTCTGATACAAACTCTCAGTCTACACTCTCTTCACTTTGCCTTCCCCATTCCCTGCTTTTGCTTCGGCTTTCGCCATTCGCCAATAAATCGTTAAATTTTACTAGCTCAATTCCCTAGAGAGCGTACACTTAGCCTTATATACTATAAAAGTTAGTTTGTTTGTGAGGTAATATTATAGAGATGGACATTGACCTATTTAAGTCCACACCAGATGACCAAATTGAGATGATGCTTATGACGATGCACATGGATAAACCCGCTGCAACATCCGGGAACGAAGGAGGCGGCAGTCTCCCCTACGACGACAACACTCCAATGATGTCGTTTAACGGCGGTGGTAGCTTGCCTCAGCATTTTAACTCACCAGCTTTCTTAAGTGATCCACAAACAACTATATCATTCTCCAACAACAATAACAACAACAACAGCAACAATAATAATAATAATTCTTTGTTACCGAGTTTGTTCCCTTCTTATAGCAATGACAGCAATGAGAACGGAACATCATCATCGCCATCACAGAAGCAAACATCGATGGCTGCAATGCGAGAGATGATATTCAGGATAGCAGCTATGCAACCGATCTACATCGACCCTGAAGCAGTGAAGCCACCGAAAAGGCGGAACGTTAGGATTTCGAAAGACCCTCAGAGTATAGCTGCTCGGCATAGGAGGGAGAGGATAAGCGAGAGGATAAGGATCCTGCAGAGACTCGTCCCTGGTGGTACAAAAATGGACACTGCTTCGATGTTAGACGAAGCGATTCATTATGTCAAGTTCTTGAAGAGTCAAGTGCAAACCCTCGAACGATCTGCCATCAACAACAACAACCGCCCCGTTCCTCCACCGGTATCCACGGGGCTAGGTTATCCCAGTGGATACTCTTTTGCTGGTCATCAGCTCCATATGAATGCTGCACCTCATCACAATGTTCAACAGTACTCAGATTCGGATGCATAACATTTTATTTGACATAACATTATAGATCGGCGATGATAGCCCGTCGTTGAACGGGCCTTAGCTTTTTTCATTCATTAGTACATGTATCAAGTTCAACATACAATGTTCGCATCTTGGAATCATCTAATTACACTAGATGATGCATTCATTCATAGCAAATGTAACAAGTTTCCCAATAACACAAGTTGATGTCTACTTACAATGGTTATAAAATTAGATAGTGTGTATATTACAGCTTCAATTCATTTCAAGTTATACTCCGTAACATATTATCCATCGAATTCATAGGAGTATCCGACTAAATTAGGATATTATTATCAAATTATATATTCAACCAAATACCAAAGCAATTTGGATTAGCAAATAACACAAATATTCAAACAACAATTACAAGTGACAAGAATGAATGAGCTACGACAATGAATGGAACAAATAAGACGTTTATAAGCGATACATCTAAATTAAAACTTCTTTTTTTTAGTAAATGATGCATCTAAAAAAACGGAGGAAATAATAATTATTATTGAACATTATTGATATTTTGGCAATAATCGATACAATGTATCTTTCCTGCTAGGCCCAACGTTCATATCATAGGAAAACAAATTAATATGCACGACCATCTAATATATGAAAATTCCTGGACCAAGGGAATTCTACAACCCTTTTTTGGTAGGTACAAATTGAGTAACAATTAGAGGACAGGCGAAAAACTAATTTCAACCTTAAATTGAGTCCACTAATTAAATGTAATAATATCTTGATTTCCCTCATTTCAATAATTTCACCACGAATACGCGCGTAAAATTTCGTGCCTAAGAGATATGAGAAGGTTTTGTTGGAATCAGGATCCATCTTGACTATCTCAAGCTTAATCATCATCTTGGGGCGGGTTTTGCGTGTTGGAACAATTGTTCGCATAGACAACACAAAAGTAATATTTAGTTTAGTGGTAAGGATTGTATCTTACAAACTGCAGTTGTTAGAGTAATTCCCAGTAGGGGCACTTTTTGTGGGGATTCCCGACCGTACTTTCAAGAGTCAAGAAATCTTGCCTGCTAACCCTGACCAGGTTGATCTGTGCAAGATTCCATTCTAGTAGGGTGCCTTTGTCAAAAGACAGCTCAAAGAAGACCTACTAGGCATACCTCAAGCCTTGAAAATCACATACTCCAAGAAAAAAGAGTAACATGCATATAAATATTACACCAAAAAAAACCTTAAAACCCGATTATACGCAGAAATGGATACTTGATTCATCCCAATTACTACATATATACGCAGGTTTAATCTTGCAATGAACAGTTAATTTTTCACAAATCAATATCAAAACTACTGAACTGTAAAATTGACCATTAAAAACAGAAAGACAAACTCGTTCAATCAATTTATTACCTTCAAATTTCAAATAAAAAAGTAATACAAGATGATATGAATAAATTAGAATTGAATGCATTAATGCAAAACTCGAAACTTACCGCTTGGAAGATGAAACATATGAGAATTGAAGAAAATCCGACTTGTTTATGAAAAAAAAAAAAAAAAAAAGGGTGACGCAGAAAGAGGTAATTATAATAGAGAACCAAGTGGCTGCCTACATTTCTATTTTAGAATACGTTTGGAGATGAGAAAACCAACTTATGTGATGACTCATCTTTTTTTTTTCCATGGTGCACAAATGTCATACTCTCTCTCATGACTCATCTGTATCAATCATTTTTTTTTTTTTTTTTTTTTTTTTTGTATTTTTACACTTTCACTCGAGTTTTAAATGATTAAGTTGAATTTGTTAAAATCTTCATTATATAAATCATTATATAAATCACGGGAGTAGGGGAGTGAAAAGTTGATGTCCAAGTTTTAAACTCTCCATATTGCCTTACAAGCCTTGTTAAAACGAACAAATTAGTAAATAAGTATGTCAAATCACGTCAATTTTTAAAATCTCTAACTTTTATATGTGGCTGACCACACCGCTATCATGGGGTTACTTGGTTAGTGTTATAAGGGTTACCATGTTAAGATTATACAGTAAAGGTTACTTTATAAGTATATTAGGGGTTACTTTATCAGTGGTGCAGGGTTTACTTTGTTATTTAAGAGTTACTCAATAAATATAATTAGGGGTTACTCTATCTGTATAGTAAGGTTACATTTATTTTGTTAGTGTTGGGAGTTACTTTGTTATTTAAGAGTTATCCAATAATTATTATAAGGGGATACTCTATCAGCTAGTATAATAAGGGTTATGTAGATACCTGATTGTGTCTCCCTAAAAACCAAACACAGTGATGAGTACCTTTCACGTCTTTGATTAACGAGTTCGGTGAATAGTTGAAGAGTCTCGTGAAGTTCCTTTAGCCTTGACCATACTCCTAACCTTTCCTAAAATGTTTTAATTCAAAATCATTCATTCCGTGTCTTTAAACCCAAAATCATTCATTTCGTGTCCTTAAAATCATTCATTTCGTGTCCAAATCTGAAAAAGTCCAAACCAGATTATTTTAGTCCATAATATCGGCCCAATTATTGCGTAGTTGGATGGGGGTTGAAAAGATCTTTCCAACGATATATTATAACCCCAAATCCGACTTATAACGAATAAGTCATGGCCAAAATACTAAACCAAGCTCGAACCAAGTCTTACCTACAACCCAATGATCATATGGAGGGTCCAAATACCTTAATTCTAATCCTAAACCAATTAGGATTCATTAGGAGCTTCTAGAATCCTCTAGAAGGTTCTAATTTATCCTTTCCCCCCGAAAGATAAAGATTAAAGAATTTGATATTGAATAAAACATCTCTTTTTTGATAATCCTAATCCCGGTCAAAACTGAATTTAGTGTCTCATTATTTTTATCCAAATCTTAGATGGTTATATTTCCTTTGAAATTATCTTTCCAATAATATATCATAATCTCAATTCCGATTAGAAATGAAAAAGATATGAACGAAATACCAAACTCTATCCAAACTGACACTATTCCACTATTTGGGCCATATCTTTATTCTATAAAATATATCAATTTGATTCTAATTGGGTTGAAAAGTAAACTTCCAGAGCTTTCTAACGATATATTATTTATCTTATTCTGATTTTTGGATCAAAAGTTATGATAAAAACGAAAATACAAAATTTGTTGTCCAACGCGCCGCGATAGTCAGTGGCGGAGCCAGGATTTTCAACTTGGGGGGACAAAATGCTTAACTTACGAAAAGCTTAACAAAAAATAAAAACAAAAAAAAAACTCACACACAAATTGGTTAATACTTAATATTAAAATTTCAAAATACAAATATATACTTAGTCATACAATTCAAAATGATGAAAAAAATTACATAAACATTACATTAAAATTACAAGTTCATTCTTCGAGTCTTCATACTTTGAAATCGATCAATAATCTTTTCGTCGGAAACTCGTAAGAAGACATCCTTCTCAATAAAAGTGACCAAACAATCATTCATAAGTTGATCACCCATGCTATTTCGCAACTTGTTTTTGACACATGTCATTGCAGAAAACACTCTTTCAACACTTGCCGTGGCAACGGGAAGAATCAACATCAACTTGATAAGCAAATGAATTGTCGTTGCCATAATGTTTATTCTTTTTCCCGGATCATGAGGAAGAAGTTCAACATCGTACACCGAATCTTCCTCTAATGGTACATTACTATTACTTGAACCACCCATTTCCATACTATTTTCTTGACTTTGAGGGGAGCTAAATGAAGGTGAGTTATTGGACTCATTTTCATTGGACTCATTTTCATTGAGTTTCGTTCTTTTAAACAAGAATTGTCGAAGATCGGGTTGTTTAGTTGCCTTTGATTTGTTTGAATTTGGTGAATCGTTTGACATTTCCTAATTAAATCGAAAATTATATATCAATTTCCACAAGACCACAATCCACATCATTACATAATAACAAAACCTAAGAGGCTAAGATTTTAAATTTCTAATTCAACTACACATTTCAATAATTTACAATAATTAATAATTTAAATTCACATTTCACAAAAACAACCAAAAACTCTAACAGGGGAAACAATCAAACAAATATAAATCAATAATCATTTATCAATTCAAATTATTCAATAATCAATACCCACAAGGCCACAAATGACAAATTCACAATAAAAATATAAACAATTAAACATTTAAACAAGTAATAAAAAAATGAAATTCAGAATTTCAGATTTACTGTAAATTTAAACAATTAAACATTTAAATAACAAAACAAGTAATCAATTATTCAATTAATCATACATTCATACCTCCATTGAAATCCAGATTTACAGCAAATGTGTTATGCTTATGCATATGACGAAGTCACGAAGACACGAAGTCACGAAGGACGAAGGCTCAAGGGCGGCTGTTGAACCTCGTCACTGCTGCGAACTGCCGGCGAACGGTGGACGGCGTCACGGCGAGCCGGCTAGGCGACAGGCGAGGGCGAATCGAAGAGAGAGAAATTGAAAATTGAAAAACTTAGGGTTTGGCTGGCAAATGTCGCAACAGAGCACTGTAATTGCATTTTTTTTTTTTTAAAAAAAAAATTTTTTTTAATTTTTTTTTTGAAAATGGGGGGACAAGTGTCCCCACATGTCCCCTACTAGCTCCGCCCATGGCGATAGTTCCATCGCGATGGACTCTGTCGCGCCGCGATAAAAGGAGTTTTATTCCGATTCGAATTCAGATATTTTCTTATCGCTTTGACCCTCTTTTTTCCTATAAATAGAGGTCGTTTTCCCTATTTCAGATCACCAACAACAATCATCATCAATACCCTTTCTAATACTTTTTCTCTCTCTCTTGATTCTTCATATTCTTAGCCTAGACTAAACACATCTTTGATACTTTCCCCAATTAAACACCATACCTCCTTTGCGAGATTCAAATACTCCTTTCCCTCCTCGACGTTGTCTTCGACCTCGACAGGAAAGGTTGATAGTTTTGAGGGTTTGGTCCCAAATCTATATTTCAATTCATATTTGATTTATTTACTTTGTTGATTTAATCTTTCTTGAAGTTACTAACGTGTTTATTGTTTTAATAGCAAGAAAGCCAACACATCAAAGTGAGTAAATCTACTATCTTTATTCTTTGATTTTGGAGTAGAAATCATGTTTAGAATATTATTTTAATTCTTAGTATCATGTTA